ATCAAGTTAAAACTTTTGAAAAAGAACAGCAATTAGTCTGAAGATGCTTTGCTGACATTACTAGCCATAAACAAGAAGTAAATGGTACTGTCTCGAGAGACTCTGTGTTTTGTGAAAATTATTAAATCCCAGGGAGTTAACTTTCTCTGATTGGTTCCATGCATGAAGTCACAGATATTGCAAGAGTTGGAACAGTGTTTTTTTTATGAACAGCAGATAAAATTTATATGGATTAAGATGCAGCTGAACCTTTGAGTTGTCTCACAGCTTTTAGCTTCAACCCCCATAATGATGGCATCAGCTTATTTAAGTTTCCTAAGGATCCTGGGCTGCTTTCAAAGTAACTCTCCTCTAATATGAGGGGGACAACCACCTTTTTCCAGTCAAGAATGATGGCCTGGACTTGAAGGAGCTGAGTCTTATCCTGGCTGCTTCATACTTGGCTGCGAACCACCCCGGTCCCTTGTGCATGTCTTGGCAGGAAGAGAACAGCCTCATATGCAAAAAGCAGGGACAAGATCGACTGGTCCCCGAAACAGAAACTGTCTAGTTCTAGGCTGCGCCTAGAATTCCTTAATGTAGCAATCAGTTAATTGTTAAATAGACTGTAGAGACTTAAATGTGCCTTTAGCACACAGAGCAACCCACCTTAAGCAGCAATTATACAAAACTTGTAATAAAAACAGTAAACATTTTGTATTAAAGATAAAAATCTTTTTGTCTGTCAATATGCTCTATCCAGCACTCCACGAGTGGAAAAGTTTCATTTTCACTGAGTTTATTTTAGCAAAATATCTTCTTAAGGGAATCTTTTGCTATCCGATTATTAATTGATACATAGATTAATAATTCGAAAATTATAGACAGATTAATTGATTTGCAATATAATCGTTACTTGCAGCCCTAGTTTGAACACAATCTCTGATCCCCTTTCTCATGCAGGGGAACCACCTCCTCAGTCTTCCGATCAATGGGCATTGTCCCGGACCTCCACATAATGTTTAAGAGGCATGCCAGTCGAGAGAGCCCGACAAGATCCTGAGCTCTAAGGTACTCTGGCTGCATCTTTTCCACCCCTAAAGCCTTGCCACATTTTTCTTTTTTTTTAACCATTGTTTTTTTAAAACCTTGGTGGCTGAAACCTGAGTAATGTTTGAATCTGGCCCCAAGCTACTCGTCTTTTCTTCCATCATGGAAGCTGTGTCAGCCGAACAGCGGAGATTTTCAAAGAATTCATTTCACCGTCCAATGATGTCCTGCTGAAAATCGAGTTAGCAAAACACTGCTTTCCTCCGGACATGCCGAACGGTTTTCTAGAATTGTTTTAAGGTTAACCAAACTTTCAGCGAAGCGTTTCACACACCTGGAGGTGTGCAAACCGGCAGGTGTGTCTTGGGCCATGGATGTCAAAGGGAGAAAAAGAAGATATCTGATGAGAACAGATGATTCAAAGAACAATGGACAAGCCATTTCAAAAAGAAAGCTTCAAACTCCGACCAGCTTATGACAGCTAACCAGCACCACCAAATATCAACCTGAGTCCACTTTGATATACAGCCCAATTTGATGCTGGTGAGCTAAATTATTTCCTTACATGTCAAACCAGAGCCAAAGTATAACTTTACATGATGCTCGACATTCCTCATTTTAGGGAAGACAGTGCTTCTTGTAAGAGTTGCCATAAAATATAACTTGTTTCTCGTAATTTTAGGAATTTATTCTCTTAATATACCGAATTTATTCTCGTAATTTTATGACTATTCTCGTTATGACTTTTTTCTTATACTATGACTTTATTCTCGTAATATATATCTATCTATATAACATCTATATAAATATATATATATATATATATATATATATATATATATATATATATATATATATAT